GGACCGGCACTGAGTCGTCCCCAGGAGAGCGAGCAGTCCTTGCTGGGCCCTCCCAGCAGAGCCGCCCGGCGTCCGGTCCGAGGCTCCATCCTGAGGCCCCGTCGGTTCCAAGCCATCTTCGTTGTTCTTGTATTTTCAGTTTGTAGGTGGAAAATGGCAGGATGATAAGGAACCCAGTGATCCCAGGCCGGAATTGTGTTCTCTCAGCACTTCATTATCTCCAGAAGCGACTGCCCCGGGCTCCCACGCCCCTCACACTGTAGATGTTCCTATCGGAGCACAAGGTCGCTTTGCTGGGTCCAATCTCACTGGGACCCAGCCTGCATTTCCCCTATAACCATCTGCAGAGTGTACCTAGTCACCCATCGGCAGACCTGTCCACATCCAACAACATGAGTTAAATTCTTTTTTTTTCTTTTTTTTTTTTTGGTTAATCCTCACCCGAGGATATTTTTTCGTTTATTTTTAGGGAAAGTGGAAGAGAGAGGGAAAGACAGAAACATCGATGGGGGAGAAACACATGGATTGGTTGCCTCCTGTACGCGCCCCAACCAGGGCCTGTGCCGGGGAGAAGTCTGCAACCAAAGTATGTTGCCCTTGACGGGAATCGAACTCAGACCCCTTTGGTCCACAGGCCGATGTTCTATGCACTGAGCCAAACCAGCAAGGGCGTGAGTTAAATTCTTGAAGATTGAAGTGAGAAAAATTACTTCAAGGCCCTGCTACTTGAATTACGTTTGTTTCTCCTGTAGCCACATGGGGTCGCTGCTGGTTAAGAGACTGGCACTAAAGCGGCAAATTGGGTGCTTTGGAATCCAGATTTGAAATGTGGAGTCAAAGTGGGTTTTTTGGTAAATACAATTTAAGCAATTTAAGTTCTTGAGGTGGCTTTTTTAATGAATCCAGAGTTGACAATCAACTCTCAGTAAAATAATCAAATTCTTCTTTAAAAAAAATAAATTTGAAATTGTATATACTAGGTTGACTTGGTTGAGTTAGTTAGTTATCTCGAAAATGTCTTTGTCACTGGGATCAGGAATTAAAAAAACCTGTCTTAGTTGCACTTTGCCTCTGCTTCCTCTGTGGGCCCTCCTTCCTGAGCGGCTGTTGGAGTTGCATGTGCTGTAGGGAGCATCCAGTCTTGTCAGAGCAATGAACTTGGATTTGTTGTCGTTGGAAAGTGTGCCTGTGTATATTTCCCTCAGTCCTTCAGTAAGCTGCTATAGCTCAATTGCTGAAGATTTTCTCTTAATTCTCATTTTGAATTAGTGAATTATTGGTAAGTTTACATATTTGACTGTGTTTGCCCATTTTAGCTGGGACTAAAGACTTCAGAGGCTGAAAAACAAAGGGAATTTCAACTATCCACTTAAGGTTCAATTCACCTAAGCAGGAACTTTGGTAAATCTTATAATCACCTTTTCCCCCTTAACTTTTTTTAAAATTTATTTTTATTGTTGAAAGTATTACAGATGTCCCCTTTGTCGTTTTTTCCCATTGACCCCCTCCACCCTGCACCTGCCCTTCCCATGCCTTCACCACACTATTGTCTGTGTCCATGGGCTATGCATATAAGTTCCCCAGTTAATCTCTCCCCTCGACCACCCCCAACTCCACCTTCCCTCTGGAATTCGTTAGTCTGCTCCATGCTTCTATGTCTACGGATCTATTTTGTTCATTAGATTCCATATATACTTATCTATATGAGATCATGTGATATTTATCTTTTTCTGACTGGCTTATTTTGCTTAGCATAATACTTTCCAGGTCCATCCACGCTGTTGCAAATGGTAAGAATTCCTTCTTTTTTACTGCTGCATAGTATTCCATTATAGAAATAAATGTACCACAGCTTTTTTTATCCACTCATCTGCCGATGGGCACTTGGGCTGTTTTCAAATCTTAGCTGTTTTAAATTGTGTTGCTATGGACAGCAAAAGAAACGATCAACAAAGTGAAAAGAGAGCCCACCGCATGGGAGAATATATTTGCCAATGATACATCCAGTAGGGGTAAATTTCAAAGTATATAGGAACTCATACAACTTAACAAAGGAGAGACCAACAATCCAATTGAAAAATGGGCAAAGAACCTAAATAGACACTTCTCCAAACTGTACATACAAATGGCCAAGAGACATATGAAAAAATGCTCAGTCACTAATCATCTAAGACAGTGGTTCTCAACCTTCTGGCCCTTTAAATACAGTTCCTCATGTTGTGACCCAACCATAAAATTATTTTTGTTGCTACTTCATAACTGTAATGTTGCTACTGTTATGAATCATAATGTAAATATCTGATATGCAGGATGGTCTTAGGCGACCCCTGTGAAAGGGTCGTTCGACCGCCAAAGGGGTCTCGACCCACAGGTTGAGCACAGCTGATCTGAGAGATGCAAATTAAAATGACAATGAGGTATCATCTTACACCTGTCAGAATGGCTGTCATCAACAAATCAACAAATGACAAGTATTGGTGAGATTGTGGAGAAAAGTGCACTGCTGGTGGGAATGCAGACTGGTACAGCCTCTGTGGAAAACAGCATGGAGTTTTCTCAAAAAATTAAAAATGAAACTCCCATTTGACCCAGAGATCCCACTTCTAGGATTATATCCCAAGAAACCCAAATCACCAATCAGAAAGGATATATGCACCCCTTAACTTTTCACTTTGAAATATTTTAAATTTGTTGGAAAGTTAAAAAGAACATAGTGATGCCCACAGGGTTAGCTTTTCTGCCACATTGCCTGTACGCACGCTCTATATTTTTTCTCATGGAAAATAAGTCATGTACCTCTAAAAACTTCATCATGTATCTTCTAAGAACAAAGGCATTCACCTATGTAACCTCTTTTCTACAATAACTTTACTTTTTGCATCATGAAATCTTATTTTAAAATATATTTTTATTGATTTCAGAGGAGAAGGGAGAAAGAGAGAAGGATAGAAACATCAATGATGAGAGAGAATCATTGATGGGCTGCCTCTTGCACGCCCCCTATTGGGAGTTGAGCCCGCAATCCAGGCATGTGCCCTTGACCGGAATCGAACCTGGGACCCTTTAGTCCACAGGCCAATGTTCTATCCACTGAACCAAACGGGCTAGGGCCATTAAAGCTTTTTATAAATGGAAAACTCAAAACATTTACAAAAGTAGAGAGGCTAGAATAATAAATCCCCATTTCATCATCACCAGCTTCAACAATTACCAAGTCATGGCCAGTCTTAGTTCCTCAGTATCCCCTGCACATCTAGGAGCCAAATACTTTCCTGTGAACAAATGACGCTTCGTTGAAAGAGAGTGAGAAAAATGGTTTATTGTGTGAAACTTTGTTTTAGATGCCAAGTATCCAGTGTAACTACCATATATGCCTATTTCATGAGAATCTACTGGTTGGGTCTTTACTAACAACTTCAACAGTGGTTCCCAAACGTTAGTGACAAAAATGCTTAGCAATATTTAGTAAAACGAAATAAAGCTACTGTGCTGAGTTCTTCCTAAAGCTAAGTTGATTCCACTTACAGGACTGCTCTTTACTCTGGCAGGATTCCCTGTCTGTTCTTTTGGAGGCTACCCTGGGCTTTCGTCTATAAATGATGGTTTCGGTGGTGGCAGAGTGGAGTTTTATTTGCATATTTGCTTGTTTCTCTGGGCATAGACGGCTAAACAGAAAGCTGGCAAGTTGTCAAAGTCTTTTTGGAAATTTTATTAGTCTGTGACATACTAAAATATGGGAGCTACTGCTTTAGAAGACCAGGTGATGTGGGCCCCTTGAGTACCATCGTGTGGGGAATTTAACTTTATCAGAAGCAGAAAGAGAAGTATGGAATCATAATATGCGTTTATATCTTTGCAAATAAATTGTTTCTTTGCCACTTGTTACTTTGTAGGAGAAATGTCTTAATCAGTTTCACTTGCTGTTTTTTATAAAGTAACTTCTTTGGTCCTCTCTTACCCCCATGGGGCCTGGCGTTCAGAAAACATAAAAGACTAGAACAATTGAACGAGTTTGTGTAAGATCAGTTCGAATCCAAACGTGGGTCCTACTCAGTCTAGTGAGTGTGAATAACTAGACACCAGACTTGTGTGGGTGCCCATTGCCCACCACGAGTTCTCTCTGCCACAGGTCTGACAGAGTCAGTTAACGATGTTCCCGAGCTGAGCCGCAGGATTGGGATGGATCATGATTCCAACAGGGAAGAGAAGGTTTTACCTCCAAGCAGGTACAGGCTCCTCTTGTTTCCCTTCTTACTGGTCCTGGGGTAGGTGTTAGCACTAATGGGCTGCTTGCCAGATGGGAAGCATTCTTATTTAATGACTAGAGGCCCAGTGCACAAAAATTTGTGCACTGGGGGGGGGTGGTCCTCAGCATGTCCATTGCCCTCTCACAGTCTGGGACCCCTCGGGGGATGTCCACCTGCTGGCTTAGACCCGCTCCCCAGGGGAATGGGCCTAAGCTGGCAAGCAGACATCCCTCTGGCAGCCCCGGAGCCCTCGGGGGATGTCCACTTGCCAGCGGGGAGCAGGCCTAAGCTGCAGTTGGACTCCTTAGCACGGCTGAGGAGGCGGGAGAGGCTCCCGCCACCACCGCTGTGCTGGCAGCCGTCAGCCTGGCTTGTGGCTGACCAGAGCTCCCCCTGTGGGAGTGCACTGACCACCAGGGGGCAGCTCCTGCATTAACCATCTGACCCCTGGTGGTCTGTGTGTGATAGTGACCAGTCATTCCCAGTCGTTCTGCTGTTAGGGTCAATTTGCATATTACCCTTTTATTATATAGGATACAATCAGTCATTGGATAGTAGCCTTCAGATAATGAAACAGAAGTGTGATCAGTTATAACTGGTGGTATCAGGGGGTCAAGAAGCAAATTTTGTTGAACCAGTGAGTAAATGAAAGCAATTACTATTGTCGGCTGTTCACTCTGGGACCTCAGTTAATAATCCAATAGAAATACGTGGATGTCAGACCTCTGACAGCTACGGAGGAAGCAGCCTGGAATCGCCAGCCATGGCTGCAGCTAAAACAGTGCTCACTGTCTCTCAGTTTCTGTGGGTCAGAACCTGGGCAATGGCTTAACTGTGCCGTCAGCCTGTTGCCTGCTGGCGGGGGCATCCCTCAGCCCCTCGCCACCTAGACCTCCCCACAGGGCAGCTGGCTTCCCTCACTGGGAGAATGAGAGTGTGGGAGTCGCCGCCCAAGACAGAACGGCCGGCTCTGCTACTTCTGTTCCCTAGAGGGGAGTCCCTAAACCCAGCCCACACTCTAGGGAAAGAGTACACCACGGTGTGAATACCAGGAAATACAGATCTTTGGGGTCATTTTATCAGCTGCCTACACCAGCTCCTATCACTTACTCTTTTGAGTGAGAACAGATGAAAAGCCACAGATAAAAAGATTAATTTTCTAATAGTGGCACTTTCACCTGTTTTTTTCTGGCTTCATGATCAGCTTAATTTGTGAATGAGACTCATAACCCTGTTGATAAATAGTCCTCCTCCCCCTCCAGCTTTGTTCTGAGTCCTCCTAGTCCTATTGACATCGCAGTAAGAAGCACTCAGTAAGGAGGAAGCGCAGGGCTCTGCTGCTCACTGGCAGTTAAGTGAGTAAAGTCACGTCAGATTTTACATTTTTTAAACAGTTCTGATTCCCACCAATAACCAGGTAAATCATGGCAGAGGTTGGCTGACTGCCTTACATGCTTTTGTATTCACAACTCCGGGAACCTGTTACTAAGGTGCCCTTCTCTGTCCCAAGCTGCTGCCCTGGTCTTCATGCTCTGACTGCCCCCTGCCCAATGCCAGCAGGTGTCCACACCTCGCCCAGCTCCTCTGGGACAGGTTTTCACCCAAATCCAGACCTACCACCTCTCTTGCCACTTAGATGTGGCAGGAGGGGAGGAAAATGGAACAGGGGAGCGGAGGTCTGCTGGGGGCTGTGGCCAAGGAGCAGGGCCGGCATAGGCGGAGGAAACAGTTTGAGGTTACTCATTATTGGCAATTGGCTTTCCTTTGGGCTCATACGATGCTGTGGGTTCCTAAAGAAATCCCATGTTTAGGCATCATTCATCAGACATTGTTGAGTCCGTATTATGTGGCGGGCAGAATGCTGAGCGCTGGGGCGAGATACAACTAGAGCTGGAGCTGTAGGTGAGCCAGGCACCGTCTTTTGCTGCCAAGAAGCTTTCGTAGGGGAGACAGCTGATAGCAGAAAATGACGGATAAGTTGTGTATAGAGCTTAATGAGCTTGATCAGCTGCCCCCGGAGGATCAGAGAGGTGTGCCCTGGAGGGAGATTTCGCCTACGAAGACTTGAGTTGAGTCTCTGAAGATGAATAGGTGCTTTCCAGGTGCTGCCGACTGCTCCAGGTACAGGAAGCAACATGTTGGAGGCACAGAGTGGTGGTATAAGGTGCTCTGTGCTTTACAAGGGCTTGGTATGGTTGCACACAAGGCATTGAGACACAGGAGGAGGTAAATTGGAAAGGGAAGCAGAGCAGTATCAGGAGGGTCATGCAGTATAAGCCATTTATGCTGCTGGTGATGGGAAGCCCTTAAAGGGCTTTAAGTGAGCATGACATCATGATCAGAATTGCATCTTAGGAAAATCACTGGTTTTAGAATGAACTGGCGGAGAACAGATTAAAAAGAGACAAGACAGAGGCAGGAGGATCCGTGAATAGACTCTGACGGTGGTCCAAGTAAGAGATGATGGTAGGCAGGGATGAACTCCAGAGACATTCAAGAAGCAAAATGTATGGACTCAGAGGAGGATTGAATAAATAGGATGAAGAGGAAAGAGCTCAGCACAATTCCAGCGCACACTGGACCGGGGGACAGATGATAGTTGGTTACCTCTGATGGCTGAGATTTGTGAGTAGGGAGAGGAACTTTGACTTGTCTGTTCATCTTTGTGTTGCCTTTTTTCCTTTTTTACAAGGAGCATGCATTACTGCTGTACTTTTTTAAAGGGCAGATGTTTAATTCAAGACAACCAGTACCTATTTGGAAATGATGAGGTTCAGCCTCAGAATATTCAAATAGTCCTTTTTCTATTAGTCTAACTCTGTAGCACAAAGACATCATTTAAGTAAACATTCAGAGGAAAATTGATTCCTGTCATTTCTGTTTTTTTAATTAACTAGAGGCCCGATGCACGAAATTTGTGCAAGGGGCTCGGCCCTCATAGCCCCAACTGCCTTGGCCCTCGCAGCCCTGGCTTCATCTGGAAGGTTGTCCAGACAGTTGTTCTGCTGTTCAGTCTAATTAGCATATTAGCTATTTTTTATATAGGATATTTTTAGAGCAGTTTTAGTTCTACAGAAAAATGATCAGAAATTACAGAGTTCCCACCTACTCCCCTATTATTTACATCTTTATTAGTGTGGTGCATTTGTTAAAATGGACAATCCAGTATCAACACATTAACTCAAGTCCATAGTTTATGTTGGGGTTCACTTTTTGAGATGTATATACTATGGGTTTTGAAAATGTATAATGATGTGTATCCACTATTACTGTATCATACATAGTAATTTCACTGCCCTAAAATTCCACTGAGCTCCACCTCTTCATCCTTCCTCACCTCCCTCCCCCGCGCCCCGTCCCACCACAGCCCCCCAAATCCTTGGCAACCAGCGATCTGTATGCTGTCTCCATAGGCTTCCAGAAGGTCCTGTATTTGGACTCATCCAGTAGGTGGCCTTCTCAGATTGGCTTCTCTCACTCGGCAGTGCGCATGTAAGGACCCTCTGTGTCTTTGGGGGTCTTGAGAGCTCATTCCTCTTCAGCACTGAATAACCTTCCATTTACCCACTCACCTATAGAATGGCATCGTGGTTGCTTCCAAGCTTTGGCGATTATGAATAAAGCTCTATCGACCTCCATTTGCAGGCTTTTGTGTGGACACAGTTTTCAGCTCACATGAGTAAATGCCAAGGAACATGATACCTGGATCGTATGGCAAGGGTGTGCTCGGTTTTGTAGAAACTGTCACATTGTCTTCCAGAGTGGCAGCACCATCTTCATCCCCAGCAGCAGTGACTGAGAGCTCCTGCTGCCCCAGTGTTCTGGGTTTTGGACTTTCTGATAGGTGTGTACAGTATCCCATCTGTATTTTAATTTGCGGTTCCCTAATGACATATGTTGCTGACCATCTTTTCATAGGCTTATTTGCCATCTGCATATCTTCTTTGGTGAGGTGTCGGTTCAGATCTTTTTCATTTTAAAATTGGGTTGTTTGTTTTCTTATTGTTCAGTTTTAGGAGTTCATTGTATATTTTGGAAAACAATCCTTTATCAGATGTGTGCTTAGCAAAGACTGTCTGTGGCTTGTCTTTTAATTCTCATAACAGTGTCTCTCAGAGAGCAGAAGTTCTTAATTTTAATGAAGTGCAACTTACCAATTTTTTTCCTTTTTTGGGTCTTGCTTTTGGTGTTGTATCTGAAAGTCATAGAAAAGCCCAAGGTGACCTAGATGTTCTCCTAGTTATCGTCTAGAAGTTTTATAGTTTTATGTTTAGTCTGTGAGCCATTTGTGGAAGGTAGAAGGTCTGTGTCTGAGTCATATTTTTGCCTGTGGGTGTCCAGTTGTTCCAGCACCGTTTGTTGAAAAGACTATGCTTTCTAAATGGAATTGCCTTTGCTTCTGTTTTTTTAAGGGTAAAAGGACCAATCTTCCTGGCTGCCATGACTGGCTGCCTGGTAGTGGCACTGAGCCTGGGGTAGAGGAGGAGCCGGTCTGGAGGAGGAAGATAGTGAATTCCATTTAGATGCCGATTTGGAAGTATCTTCTGTGGGTATTTCAGTGCAATGTGCAGTCAGAGGGAAAATCCTTTCCTGGATCTGAGGACTAGAGGGCAATGACAGACTCTTTAGTGCATTGCTGTATATGCACACAAATAGAAACCAAGCCCCGTGTCATCTAGGCCGGGTGCAAAATCAGGGCCAGAGCTCCACCTGGCCTCTGCTCAGCGTTCTTCCTGCCGCAGAGGGAGGGCGGCTCTGGATCACCGGGCCCTCGACATCCACGTCTGACCCCAGCTCTTCAACTCTGCTGCAAGCCACACGCAGTTCTTGGCCTTCCCCTGTCAGTATAATGGTCTTTTATCTCAGCAAACACTGTCTGTGTGGGGCTTAGGAGACAGGACCTTATGGCAGTTTTTGGACAGAGAAAGTAATTTGTATTTAACCCCTTTACAGTCTGGAAGGCCAGGCCAAGGACGCAATGCACAATGCCTTTTGGGATCACCTTAAAGAGCAGCTATCAGCTACGCCCCCAGACTTCAGCTGTGCTCTTGAACTTCTGAAAGAAATTAAAGAGGTGAGTCACCAGCCTTCCGCTGGTAGGTGTAAAGATCCCAGGCATCCCAGCTCATTCGAATGTCAGTGGCTAGCAAATGCCAACTGGCATGGCCCATGAATCAGTCAGAATCTAACCTGTATACAGGAATCGCAGAGTCATTTCAACAAGGAGTTTTAATATAAAAATTACCACAGGGCATTGGAGAAATGAGGGCTTTGGGCTAGTCAGAAGCAAGGGGAACTCTCAGGAATACCGGAAAATCAGCTCTAAGGCGAGCCCACCACACCGAGGCTGACATAGACACCCAAGGGTCCACTTGGGAGGGCACAGCTGTGCCGGGGAAGTTGCTGGCCTGTGTGTGCTGCTGAGCACAGTGCACGGCAGGAGCCCACCTGGGAGACGCCACTCAGGCCGTGGGAGCCGGGCGCTGGCACAGCCATGCCTCCTGCAGGAGCTGCCAACTGAGCAGTCTACTCGGAGAGAAAGGCTCTCGGCTTTTGCCTTGTCTTTCTAGTATGTGATGGGCACACCCTAAAGCGACCTGCCCCCACCCCACCCCGAGATTCACATCCTTAAATAGTCCTGTCTCCTTGATGGGGACGAGATCTGTAACTTACCTCTAACCAGTGGAATATGGCAAAGGTGGTGGGATGTCACACCTCACTGCGGAAGACTCTCAGCAGACGGAGGTCCTCCTGCGGGCCTGGAAGAACAAACAGATGCCTATGGAGAGGCCACCTGGCAGGGAGCTGCAGGTGCCTCAGGACCAACCTCCAGCCAGCAGCCAGCCAGCAGCCAGTCAGAAGCTGGGGCCCTTCGGGTTACAGCTGTAAGGAAGTGAATTCAGCCACGATTTGAATGAGCCCAGCTGACACCTTATTACAGCCTGGCGAGACCCTGAACAGAGGACCCAGTAAATAAACTGTGCCTGGACCCCTGACCCACAGATGCTGTGAGACAACAAATGTATATGCTTTCTTTTTCTTTTTTAAAAAAATATGTTTTTATTTTAGAGAGAAAGGAAGAGGGAGAGAGAGTTTAGAAACATCAGTGATGAAAGAGAATCACTGATCAGCTGCCTCCTGCCTGCCCCCTACTGGGGATAGCCCACAACCCGGGCATGTGTCCTGACCAGGAATCTTAACTATGACATCCTGGTTCATGGGTCAACCACTGAGTCATACCAACCAGGCTATATATGCTTAATTAAGCCTCTGAGTGTATGGTAATTTGTTATGCTGCATAGAAACTAATTAATAGTGCCCTCTACAGATGATGCTTAAAGTTTACCATCTAGTAAAGAAAAAATATTTAAAGGACTTCATTTCTTTCAGAGCCGAGAAAACAAGGGTGGATTTAGGGCAGAGAGACAATCAAGTGATGAATGTCACATTTCACTCCTTTGGCTGCTCAGCTTCCATACACAGCCTCCACACACTGAACCCCCCCGTCACCCAGTCTCACCGCTGGGCAGGTCGGACAACACCGAGCTCCTCATGAGAGGAGCGCAGCCCCCAGGGCTGCCCGATGTCCGATGGTCAGGGCTTACTTTCTGACGAGGCCCAGGAGCCAGCCAGAACCATTTCTCCAAAGGCAAGTCGTTCTGCATAGCTGTGCTCCAAACCCCTGGAGACCTGTGCTGTGTGGCCCCTGCTGGCCAGAGGTGCTGGACGGCACCCTTACTTGCCACGGGCACTTCAAGTATCTTGGCCCTGCTGGATGGTAAGGCCAAGTGGTCGTGTGGCTGGTACAGCTGCCTGGACTTGCTGCGGAGCCTCCACGGGCTCTGGTTCCCACTTGAAATTGGTAACCTATGAGCGACTCAAAATGGGTGTCGAATCAGAACTGTAGAGGGTTTTTAATTGTAAGAGTTTGAGTTTACTTGAGCCAAACTGACAACATGCCAGGAAGCAAGATCTCAAATGCTCCGAAGGAGGACCGTTTTGCAGTGTCTTTTATACACCCGGAACGAACAGTGGAGAAGAACCGTGGACAGGGCTTGCTTGAGGTGAAGATGAACCTTTTACTGAAGAAGTTATGTGCCAGCTAGGAACTTATGATGAGTCACGTGGCGTACCAGATTGGCACCAGAGTCCCTCCACCTCCACAAAACCCTGAGGTGCTGTATGCGGCCTCGACGCAAAGGCCTGCAAGGGCTGCACTGCTTTTTCACGGTGGGTACCGTGAGGCACACCGCCGGCCGTTCACCTGGGAGGACTTGGCTGGCCAGGTGCACACCTCTGGAGCTCTGCCAGCTTCACCGGGCCCACGGCAGCTGCATGATGCGGGGGACTAGCCATCCTCCAGTCTGCCTGCCTAAGGCAGGGGTGGGGAGCCTTTTTCCTGCTCAGGGCCATTTGGATGTTTATAACATCACTCACAGGCCATGCAAAATGGTCAACTTAAAAATTAGCCTGCTGTCGAAGAGACCAAGATGGCGGCATAGGTAAACACCGCAGACTGCTGCCGCAAACAACCACTTCAAAAATACAACTAAAAGACGGAACGGACATCACCCAGAACCACAGGAAGGCTGGCTGAGGAGAGACTCTTCAACTAGAAGGAAAAATAACAGCACACCGAGGCTCAGAGGAGGCGCAGTGTGGAAAATACTCAGGTGCGGAGGTGCGCGCGCAAAGCGGGCTGGTGGCTGAGAGCGCGGTTGTCGTTTTCGGTCAGGGGGGAGTCTCAGACTCTGAGCTCCAGATACGGGCGAATCGCTGGGGACTCGGACCCAAACGGGAGAAGCGGGAGTGTCTGGCATCAGTTGGAAGGCAGCTTTCCCTCCGAGGTTTGCAGCGGTTCCGGGGGTTCTGAGAAGCAGAGCCTCTGGGAACGGGACTGAGAGGGGCCATAACCGCTCCCTCCGCCCGCCCGCCCTGTTGAGCCCGCCCCGCCCAAGCCCTGCGCAGAGCCATTTGCCAGATCGCCTCAGGCAAAGGCTAGATTAGCACCTCCCCAGAGGACAGAAGTTTTCCGCGGCAGACACAGCTGATTCACACAGCCAGTCGGCCTGGTGGTCAAATCCCTCTAGTATTAACTACAACAATCAAGGCTCAACTAGAACAAGACTGCGCACAAAGACCACTAGGGGGTGCACCAAGAAAGCATAAAAAATGCGGAGACAAAAAAACATGACAGAAATGGAGGATATAGAGCTAAAAATCGCAATTTTGAGGGCTTGCAAAAATGTGCTAGAAGCTGTCAATAAACTTGAGGAGAGAGTCACGAAAACTAATGAGACCCTCGATGCTATGATAAAGAACCAACTAGAAATTAAGCATACACGGACTGAAATAAAGAATATTATACAGACACCCAATAGCAGACCAGAGGAGCGCAAGAATCAAGTCAAAGATTTGAAATGCGAAGAAGCAAAAAACACCCAACCGGAAAAGCAAAATGAAAAAAGAATCCGAAAATACGAAGATAGTGTAAGGAGCCTCTGGGACAGCTTCAAGCGTACCAACATCAGAATAATAGGGGTGCCAGAAGATGAGAGACAGCAAGATATTGAAAACCTATTTGAAGAAATAATGGCAGAAAACTTCCCCCACCTGGTGAAAGAAATGGACTTACAGGTCCAAGAAGCGCAGAGAACCCCAAACAAAAGGAATCCAAAGAGGACCACACCAAGACACATCATAATTAAAATGCCAAGAGCAAAAGACAAAGAGAGAATCTTAAAAGCAGCAAGAGAAAGAGACTCAATTACCTACAAGGGAATACCCATACGACTGTCAGCTGATTTCTCAACAGAAACTTGGCAGGCCAGAAGGGAATGGCAAGAAATATTCAAAGTGCTGAATACCAAGAACCTACAACCAAGAATACTTTATCCAGCAAAGCTATCATTCAGAATTGAAGGTCAGATAAAGAGCTTCACAGATAAGGAAAAGCTAAAGGAGTTCATCACCACTAAACCAGTATTATACGAAATGCTGAAAGGTATCCTTTAAGAAGAGGAAGAAGAAAAAGGTAAAGATACAAATTGTGAACAACAAACATGCATCTATCAACACTTAACTAACTCACCCCTAATGCCTTGGCAGGGCCAGGCCAAATGATTTCTTGGGCCTTATACAGCCCATGGGCCGGACGTTTCCCACCCCTGTTCTAAGGCATCTAAAACGTGGAATACTTGCTACTTGCTGCTCATGAGAGCCATGGACATCAGCCATTTCAGTGAGAACTTCTCTTATGCCAGTTTTGTATCACTCAATGTCTAATCAGGATGAAGAAACAAGACAGTAATTTGAACAAAGAGAAGCGGGGTGCCAGGCTTGCCCGGGGGAGCGCACGGACCAGGGGGACCTCTTCCTCTCGCTGTCACATGGGAGGTGCTGAGGGCTCCAGAGTGAAACTGGCATAGTTCACCATGAAGTACAGGGTACAGAGCAGCTTCCATTTCCACAGCTTACAGCGAAGCTGAGCACATGGGATCTTGTTATGACAACACGGTGTTCCATTCAATTAAACGGACGTTCATCGAACCCCATCCCTCGACCCTGCTGTGTTCTGTCTGCTACAGAGGCACGGAGATGAGGCAGAGACTGCTCACAGGGACCTTACATTTTCAGTTAATAGACTATTTCCGGTGACACCTGACAGTTCCTTTGCCTAGTTCCTCCTTGCTCTTTGAAGTAAATCTCAAGCATGCCTGCTTTTTAAAATGAAGAGCACCTCGTTGCCGTGTGGTGTGTATTTTATATTTGTTGCACCCTGAGTTCCTTTTTATCACACGCCTTCATCTTGTTTCTCTCTCTATCTCATCCTGCCTGGAGAATGAGATCTTATTGCTGTAATTGATTCCTAAAGCCGTGGCCTATTATTGGTCCTTAAACAAAGATAAATATTAGGAAATTTAGGGACCTGACTTCTTGATCTTTAAAAGACACAGCCTGGGCCCCGGCTGGGGTGGCTCAGTTGGTTGGAGTGCCGATCCATCCTGTAGGCTGAGATGGCAGGTTCGATCCCCAGTCAGGGCACATACCCAGGTTTTGGGTTTGATTCCCTTGAGAGAGAGAGAATCTCTCCCCCTCTCTCTGAACAGCAGACACCGGCTGGGATGTGTGTGGCTAATGGGGTTTCTATGAGGAAACTGGGGCTCTGAGCAGAGTGCGGCCTCCTGGGCTTTCTTCCTGGGCAGATCTTGCTGTCGCTGCTGTTGCCACGCCAGAGCCGCCTAAGAAGTGAGGTGGAGGAAGCTCTGGCCACCGACCTGCTGCAGCGGGAAGCGGAGCACGGGGACCTGAACATCCTCCGTCTCTCCAAGAGCATCCTCAGCATGATGACCCTGCTGTGCGCGCCAGTTCGGGATAAGGCCGTGCAGAAGCTAGACGGCATCACAGACTCCGCTCTGCTCCTGAGGTGAAGCCTGGCTACTGTCCCTGGAACCTGCCGCCCCCGGGCCACACCCCGACTGGCTGCCCCATCTCAGCTGCTCAGGAAGGACCCCATCCTGAGTCCTTCTCTCTGGCCTATGAGCTTTTCTTTTCCAAAGATGGCCTTGCAGGGCCCTCTGGGGATCCTCAGGTGGGCTGGCCCCATATAACATCCTACCATGCAACATTCATGTATGCTTTCCCAGGTTTTCTTGTTGCAGTTCACATAGTATGAGGGGCAGAGGTGAGGGGTTATCCCCATTTCATAGCTCCAGAAAATTAAAAAAAAAATAGTAGACCCACAACCCTGGCCAGGTAGCTCAGTTGGTTAGATCGTCGTCCCAATACTCCAAGGTTGTGGGTTTGATCCCCAGTAAGGGCACATAGAAGAATCAACCAGTGATGCATAAATAAGTGGAACAAGTCTCTCTCTCTCTCTCTCTCTCTCTCTCTCTCTCTCTCTCTCTCTCTCTTTCTTTCTGTCTTTCTCCCCATTCCTTCCTCTCTCTCTCTCAAATCAATAAAATAAAATAAAGTAATTGGCCCAGAAACAGCACCACCTATAATGCCACTTCCCAGAGAGAATGGTTAGTGTCTGGTGTGGTCTTCCACCGACGCCCTTTTTAAGAGCAGAGTGGCTTGTGGGAGGAGGTCTGGCTCCGAGGCTTCGAGGTCCAGACACCTGTTTCCCACGCTGCCGCCCGCTCGCTCTGGGCCTGGGTCCTGGCTCCCGTGTCCTCTTTGTAAATGAGGGGGCAGGGCTGTCAGTTTAGAGCCCCCTGACTCCCGGAGACCCTCTTGGAGCATGAACACGCTGTTCTATCTTTCAGGGGGATCTTCCAGGTTCTGGGCCTGATGAAGATGGACATGAGGAACTACACGCTGCAGAGCCGCCAGCCCCACCTGCGGGAGCACTCCATCCTGCACGAGCGGGCGCAGTTCCAGGAGCGCCTCAGCCAGCAGCCGGGTGCGCGGGTGGGCGGAGCGGCCTGGGGCTGCCTAGAAGGCCAGCCAGCACTGCCTCCTTCTAGGCCAGTGATGGCGAACCTTTTGAGCTCGGCGTGTCAGCATTTTGAAAAACCCTAACTTAACTCTGGTGCCGTGTCACATATAGAATTTTTTGATATTTGCCACCATAGTAAAACAAAGACTTATATTTTTGATATTTATTTTATATATTTAAATGCCATTTAACAAAGAAAAATCAACCAAAA